TGGGCCAGCCATGAATAGCAGATACATGATCTTCTATGAGCTTATCATCTTTTATAGTGAATTACTACACTCAGTGTAAACCTCACCCAGAGCAAAGCTCGCTCCCAGCATTAAGGAGTATGGAACCAGTCAAATCAGGAATAGATGAAAGCTTTGAAGATAATGTAAACTGTTTTCTTGTTGACAAAATAGTCTAAAGCTTTTGTTATGCTTTTTCTATAAAATACTTTCCAGACATAACTCAATATGGCAGCACCCAAACCCTAAAGAAATGAGGAACAATAAGTATAGTTTTCAGCACTTCATAACTACTCATTACGTTTATTTCCCAGTATTCTTTGTTATTCGTTTCCTGTTGCTACTCAGAGCCAACACATTTTTGGCTTTTAAACTGAAGCGTGAAGCGCTAGATTCATATAAAGTCTTTTGAACTGGTAAAGTCTCTGGATGGGAAATGGATGTTAAATTGTTTACATTTGGCACGAGAAGAAAAAGTTCCATTTTTACATTTAAAGCCTTTCCACCTTTGAAAATGAAAACAAATCACATGGGTCATATAGTGTTCCACTTCTGTAAAATCCATCATGAGACTGATAAAAGCTTTCGTAAATCAGCAACTTTATCTGTAGCTCGCTTGAAAGTCTAATTCTGCAACTTAAAATGATATGGCCCTTTGCCCTGTGGCCTTTGGAAAAGTCATGTATCAACAACATGCTCATGACACAGTAAAAAGAGCAGCGCCTTAAGTACTTAAGTGTTTTTATTCTAGTCTAGGAGCTACATATAGCATTTTCCAACCTTGTATAAATTTATTGTGGTAGTGTTATACTTTTAATTGACTAAGAGTGTTTATACAGAACGTGACTCTGATATTTGCTTCACTTTACAATGCTTAGCATGCAACCAATAACGTTTCCCAAAATTAAACCCAGGCATCCATAACTCCACTGAGTTACATGATGATGATAAAATTCTTGTCATTAAGAGCAAAAGTACATTTTACATCACTTCCGGAATGTGGCCAGATGGTAGCTTGATTACCAAAGGCAAGGCTCAGAACACCCTTGCTCTAGCTTTAGGGAGCGTCACTTCTGGGGCAGTTAGTTAAGTGCTGCAGACAAGCAGGTCCAATAGGGAGAAGTGGTCTCTGTAGCTCAGGCTCTTATACACAATTACTTTACATTTCAAAGCTGGCGCCAAAAAAAAAAAAAAAAAGTATTGAAAGAAGGGAAGATCAATACTGGCTTTCCAACAGAAAAAAAAAAAAAGCATTGAAAGAAGGGAAGATCAATACTGGCTTTCCAACAGGAAAGAAATGCAGCAGCTGAAGAAATCTTCTGGGATATCCATGAAAGAACTCTGGGAGCGGAAGACTAAACTTGAGAGCAGCACTGCATTGCAGGGACAGAGGGAATGCCATGCCTAGATCAGGTAGGTTGGCCTGGGCTGACACCCAGAGAGCAAGTCTAATTTAGTGAGGCTGGGCCAGATGCTGAAAGGCAAACTCTCTTTGGATATCTCCTGTGGTAGTTTCAATGTCAGATCAATCTGGATTGAGAGAGTCAGACAGGGATTAAAGTAACTAATGCCAGAGAACACCTTGTTCTCTAATCTTGCTGAGATCATTGTGTGAAGGTTAGTCAAAGAGGAAATGGTTCTTTATTGTCACTGTACCTGAAATAAACGTCATATAAGACCTAATATGAAAGACTAAAATATGCCAAGTTCTTCTGGCTGTAAAATACCTCTTTGCATATATCTATAAACCAAGTAACAGTGTGGGCTGGGCAAAATGTATCACTTTATTTTTTGCTTCTAAGAATTTTTTGGTTCTGAAATAGAGTATCAGAACATTAGCTGTAGGCATAGAGAGGGAACATTTGTGCCTGTATCCCACGCCAATCAACATTAGATCTTGTATTTATAAGTCAGTGGGAAAGTCGATGACATAAATGCACTTGTAAAATTTCCCATTTGATTGTACTAAAGAGGAGAACATAACAGGACACCAGGAAAAAATCAGTATCTTATTCATTAATATGGAGAATACTTACTAGGTTTAGGCACTAGGGTAATAGCAGTGATAGATCTAAAATAGCAGTATTAGAATAGTGATATAGCAACTCAATGGCAGTAACGATATGTGGCACTGAATTTGATAAAAATTGCATATGCTTTTCCTGATGAGATGACTGCCTGTGCAAACACAACCAAATGCTATCAACCCAGACTTCAAATATTTAGTTAGTCATTTGAAATTAAAAATAAATTGTTCATACTGAAACAACTTCCTTTGCATACAAGTAAAACAGAGCAATAAAGTAATTGTCCTTTCTCCCCCCCTCCCCTGTTGAACTTGAGCCAAACCTTCTGAATGTTCAACATTAGCACTATTAAAATAACTTGTTTCCACTGTGGCAGATGGACTCACTCCTCTACCTGATAGATGCACTAGTTTGTTCCTCACAAAGAATTGGTAAGGAAACTCTCATTTGCTGGTGTGGATCATGCAGGATTAGCATATGCCAAGAATGTTGGATCACAAAAGTGGCCTTTGCTTTATTTTTTCCCTTGACACTTTTATTCAGCACTGAAAAAATCAGATTCTCTGAAGGATGAAATGCATGTTTGGTGGGGATGGAAAGAAAGAGGGGATGTTAAGCATCATGCTGTGCAAAAGAAGAAAAGGGCACTTGGAGGTGCCAAAATAGGGGTTTCTTCAGCATTTAAGGTCATCTAATTCGGTTTATAAATGTTTTTTTTATTTAATGATTGTAACTGAACTCAGACTAAGGTATTAACAGGGCATGTTCTTAAGGAAAAGGTGGCTAGAAAATGAAAAGTTCTAAATTGGAAAGTCGTCAGTTCAAAAATAGCCATTTAGTTACATTTTGCATAAATGATTGTTGAAATTGTGTACAGTGAAATGGTGACATTTTAATGAGAAATTCACACATCTCTGTTAACTAGTAGCTACATTCTGGCTGACATAAACCAGCACCAAGTTCAATTAGATTGTTTAGTGCTAATCAGGGCAGAATTTGACACTATGTTTTTCAATGTACATGAATATGTCCAAGTTATTCTGATATTTATTATCTATCCTGCTCTGCAGATAACAAATTCATTCCACCCTTTTAGCTGGGTATAGGGAGCGTGAGCTGCCTTTTGAATCTGTGTAATCCTAAAATGAAAAGCCAAAGGTAGAAAGACATTTCTGCTGACAGCTTGCCCGCTATCTGAAATTTCCGAGGTCGTCATTAGCATTTGCAACCACTAGGTATAGTTCAAAGATACACTCAAATATGTTCTTTAATTGTAATTTTCCCTGTTATCCTCATGAAAGACAGTGTAGTAAGGATATTTCTTTTTAAAGTTTGTGGCGATTGCAGTTTGGACTTTCAGACTTCTACCTGTCACTAGTAATGTAGCTTTCTGTACAAAGCTAGGTGAGGTCTTCTCTCTAACTTTTTGACCTCTTAAAGGTCTACAGTAGCTCTTACAGTTACATCAAATTCCTGGTTTCCTAGATTCTTCTGGAGGCATGATTTAGCAAAGCATTTAGGATATGCTTGACTTTAAACAGACTCTGTCCAGCCCTAGTCAACCAAATATTTCAGTCGTGCTTCTGTCCAGCCCTAGTCAACCAAATATTTCAGTCCCATTGGCTTTTTATGCATAGGCACATTCTTTGCTGAATAGGGATGGACAGTGCTAGAGATGCTGGAGCTCAAGCAATTTTTTTTACATTCACAATTGATGTGGCAAGTCCAGAGGTGCCAGGGCTATGGACTGCCAAACCTAGAGGTGCTGGGGCTCAGCCGTGACATGGATTAAGCACTGGGGACGGACGTAAGCACATGCTTAAATACTTAGTGGAATGGAGGTTCTAGGGGAGTATCCTTAAAAGAGGGGGAGCTGTGTTAGTCTGAAACTTTACAGTATTAAGAGGGGTAGCTGTGTTAGTCTGAATCTGCAAAAGTGTCGAGGAGTCCCGTGGCACCGGTTAGTCTATAAGGTGCCACAGGACTCCTCGCCACTTCTGCAGTATTAAAAGGTAAAGAGACAGTGGGACCAGTCCTCTTCCTGAGGGCATGTGGAAAAGGAGCTTTCATCTTCACAAGAGTTGCTCTTCAGATTGTGTCCTGCGCATGCCTCTGACTTCAGCCTGTTGGGTTTCAATTCAAAGGTAATTTTATTTTGACAAAAAGGTGCCATGAAGGATGCTTTAGCTTCTGTGCGGCTTTTGAAAAATTTTGTTCAATGTTAGAATGGGCAGTGATCAGGGAATCTGGACTTTGCAGGGTTACCTGCTTTCTGGTTGACTTTCCTTTTGTAGAGCAAGCAGGAACAAACAAATGTCCACATTTTAGATTATGACCAGTAACCTGCGGGTCCCTTCAGAGGACCTTAATTACTGGTATGCTAGAGATACACTGGTAGGTGTTTCTTGTCCCTCTTTTGAAGAATTTAGTGTGTTTTCTGCTGTGATGGTAGCCAAGAAAATTTGTCTCAGACCAATGACAGGACATCATAGGCCGTCTACATTTTGCTTGCAGGATGGAGGCTCCTGGTTGTGCTTCATTGCATTTCTGGCAGAAGTCATGACAGGTGCTTCTAGGCCTCACTTCATTATGATGAGTAGGGAGATGAGAGAGGATCTAAAGGTTTGGAACGTGTTCTTGTGAGACTATAAGGGGTTATCTTGTTGGATGCTGAGTTGCAGGTCCATTTAGTGGCAAGTGGCTTGGGATTCAGCTTTGGGTGCTCAGAGATGTGGGAATGGAACATAAAAGGCATTACCAAACACATCACTTTTCTGGGATTTTTCTGTATTCTAGTGGCGGTAACTATTTGGGATACTAATGTGCTAGAATGAGCAGATTTGCTACTGGAGTGACTGCACAGTAGTGGTACAGATTGCCTGATTAGCAGACTCTAAAGTTTAGGTTATCCATACTGCAGTGCTTACAAGTGGATCAATGACAGGAACGTGTATCAAAAAACAAAAGAGAGTCAAACAGTGAGGCTCCAAGACATGTAAAATCTTGGATATTGACCACACTTGCACTGATGGCAAACTTTTTTGTGCCAGATGTGTTCTGAACTTCCACAGCAGATTTTCAGAGTTAATGGATTTCAAGGTATACCAGGGCCTACCCCACATATGTCCTTCCCCAGAATCTCACACACTTTAATTTGTGGTATAGTTAGTGCAGTGGTTTCCAACCTTTTTTATACCCCCGATTGGCAAACCCATTCACAAACTTTTGGCAGTCTGGCAACAGTTTATTTGCATATTTATTATTCAAATAATAAATATGCAAATATACAAATAAAATGTTACTGGTCTACCAAAAGACCCGGCCCCCAGAGCTTCTGTGAACAGCTGGCTTCAGCTGCTGCCATTGCCATGTGGCAGAGGGCTACTGCAGCTTAAGCCAGCCGTTTGTGGCAACTCTGGGGGTTGGGGTAAACCCTGGACTCCCCAGTGCCAACCCTAACCCCTAGAGCCTCCCACTCCTCCACTTACCCCCCCAGCCCAGCCACTTCCCCCGGGAGTTCCCTGCACCCAATCCTCCCAGTGCCAGCCTCCTGTCCTCAGAGCCCCCAGTGCCAGCTCCCCACCACAGATGCCCCACTGCCGCCCAGTGTCAGCTCCCTGCCTCTTAGAGTCCCTCACACCTTAGAGCTCCTCAGTTCTAGCCCTGCCCCTAGAGCCCCACAGTATTAGTTTCATTCCCAGCCACTTCCCCCGGGAGTTCCCTGCACCCAATCCTCCCAGTGCCAGCCTCCTGTCCTCAGAGCCCCCAGTGCCAGCTCCCCACCACAGATGCCCCACTGCCGCCCAGTGTCAGCTCCCTGCCTCTTAGAGTCCCTCACACCTTAGAGCTCCTCAGTTCTAGCCCTGCCCCTAGAGCCCCACAGTATTAGTTTCATTCCCAGAGCCTCCCAGTGCCAGCCCCCCAACTCTTAGAGCCCTCTCCCACAGACACCCCCGGTACCTGTTGTGTCCCCCTCACCTAGCCCTGTGCTGCCTGCCAGCCACCAGCTGAGTGCTGCTGCCTGAGTCGCAGCTGCTCTAAGGTTTCTGTGCCAGGTTCTGTGCAGCCCTCCTGCCACACAGCGAACTGCCCTTCCACATCCAGGAGGAGACCCCACCCCTGCTGGTTGGCTGAGAGGTGGGGCAGGACATGCCTCTCCCAACAGTCACGGCAGAAGGGGAGGCATTGGTTGGTGCACATTAGCCGCAGCCCCCAGGGCCACCATGGCCTGGCAGCTAGCGGTTCATGGACTGGCACCCATCTGTGAACTGGCGGTTATGCTGAGATAGTGCACCTATGGCTGATGTCATTGAGAATTGCAGGTTGATTAGCAGGCTTTGTTTTCAGTGCATAGGCAGTGGGATCCCCCAGTGCTTGAACCAGATT